TGGACTTGAGTTTGACACCCCTGTTTTAGAGTATTTATCACCACTTAAGCATCTATATGTGAACTGGGATTTGAAATATATTGCAGATGGGGAGACTTCTCTTTGAAGTAATAATCATTTTTTCAGGAGTCTATTAAAAAAAATTGTTATGTCGAAAGGCAATATAAACAGATTTCCTTCCATTTCTCTCCCCACCCCCAGATTCACTCCTGCAGCACATGTTTGTAGTTCGGTTTTTAGGCTCTATGGCTGTCAGATCTGACCACACAGTGGAGGTGATCTATGAAGCAATGCGGCAGGTGTTGGCAGCTCGGGCGATTCATAATATTTTCCGTACAACTGAATCTCACCTCTTGGTCACCAGCAATGACCTGAAGTAAGCAAAGTTTGCCTTCTCTGATCCATTTCCACTTATCTTTCCCTCATTTAGTTTTGTTGCCCTCTTTGTGGTTTTAGTTGTAGAGAAAAAGCATTAGGGAAAGGAGGCAGATTTTGTTCTCTGGTGCACATCTGCTCCAGTGTTGGTCCTTCAAGAAATGAGGGAGGGGCTAAGAACTTATGATTAGCTTTGCTAGATCAAAGGCATGTCTAGTCAATCATCTTTATACTCTTCAGTCCTCAATTTAATAGCCAAGACCTTGTGTATCCCAACCTATAGTAGTGATGATGAAGGCAATACCAGCTTTCAGGAGTGGTAGTTATTGATCACAGTTCTTCAGGGTCTGGAAAGGGAAGGGAGATGCCATGCCCCACCCCTTATTGGCAGGAGTTTCAACTGCATAAAAATCCTTTTGTTCATAGATTTCTTCTGGATTCAATTGATAATCATGATGGGAGATTATTGCCTTTTAAAGCTGAACATTTTTTTTCCCATTAACAGATTGATAGATCCTCAAACCCAGGTTACAAGATCAAATGTAAGCATATGCTTTCTTTTATCACCACAGAAAGATTGCAGTCTCTGAGAATTTAAGTAAATTTTTATTAGTCTCACTTTCTTTTTCAGTTTGAACTAGCCAATGTGACACAGTTTGCTGCTCACAAGGAAAACAAGAGGCTGTTTGGGTTTGTGGTTTGTGTCTCTGAATTGTCAGGTGAAGACGGCATGAGTGCTTATGTGTTTGAGAGTAACACTGAAGGTGAAAAGGTATGACTTTGTTGTATAATTAAAATGAATGCATGTAACTGTTTTCTTCAATGAAATGGAGTGTTATGAGCTAATGACCCAATCTGTTTTGTAAAATGTAGTCAGATAAAAACTGCAATAGCAGCAAGTTCATTAAAAGTATAAAATGTGCAGCTAGCAAGTTTTGCAAGCCTCAGAATGGATTGGGCCAAACATTTATTTCCATCTTTGTTTTTTTTTTTTTTTTTTGGTCGAGTTCCAATTCTTAAATCTCCCAACAGCTTATTACTTTCCAAATAATCTGATTCACCCCCAAATTGGTCCTGGTCTTGCCCACTGTCAAATTATAGTGCACAAAATCTAATGCAGCCTTCAATCCAACACGCCCTCTTTGATACCAGTAGACTTTGACTTACGACCATTCGTTTAATGGTGGTTTGAGGTTACGCTGAAAAAAGTGACTTAGATCCCATCCTTGAAGTTATAAATGTTGCACGATCTCAACTATCTTGTGATCATGATTTGGACATCTGGCAACTCACCCACATTTACAATAGTTGCAACATCCTCTGGTCACAATCATCCCCCATTGACTGTTTACCAGAAGCCCACTGGGAAGGTTGAAATCACAATCATCAGAAGCCAACTTTTCAGCCGGCTTCCAATAAGCAAAATGAATGGGGGGGAGGGGGTGCCAAATTGACTTAATGACCATATCAATTCACTTAATGGCCATGGCAAAATGACCATAAAAATCAGGTCGATATACTTAACAAATAAATGGCTTAGCAATTGAATTCTGCCCTAGTTGTATTTGTAAGTCAAACAATACCTGTAACCTTGATATAATGGGCTTATTAATCAGTTCAAGTAAGCTTATTTTTATCCTGCCTTTATTATTTTTGTAAATAACTCAAGGCATCAGAGAGTTTATTGTTATCCCAATTTTATTATTTATTTTACAAATAACTCAAGGCAGAGAACATATCCAACAATACCTTCCCCCTATTTTCCCCACATCATCTTCGTGAGGTAAATTGGGCTGAGTGGTTGCCTGGCCTTGAAATGGAATGTTTTCTTCTGCTGATGGTATCCATTTAAAATGACCCATTGGTAGAATTTCATTTGTTAATTCCAATCTGTGGCTTGGAATTAGAGCAGCATTACCATAGAAAGGGGTATGGTTTGGGTTCCCTTATGTAGGTTGTTGGATTACAATTTCCTTTAGCCATAGCTAATTATATTATGAGCATTACAGTTGGTATATGGATGGTGACATGGGTATTGCCAGATAAATAATTTTGTACAATTTCCTTTAGCCATAGCTAATTATATTATGAGCATTATGGTCAATATCTGGATGGTTAGATGGCTACTGCCAGACAAATAATTGGAAGTAAACATCTGTTATAAATGCCTGCCAGTGCCAGAAAGCTGTTGCTTCAGCAACCATCTGAAGCGACTTTCTTTGTCATAAATGCTGCTAGTACAGCATTGTAAAGCTTTCACAGACTATTTGGTGTGGTGGTCTTAATTTTATTATTGGGAATTCTGCCATATAATTTCTGAGGCTGTAATCCAGATCCAATAATAGGAGAAATTATTCAGGAAATTTGTCCATTTATTTGCAGTTTTAAATAGGTAGTATAATCAACAAAAATAATGTAAGTGGTGCTGAGACAGATTGTGTTTCTTCTGTAGATTTGCTATGCAATAAATCTGGGGAAGGAAATCATTGAGGCTCGAAAGGTAATATTTTTAACTTCATATTCCTTATCCTCTGAATTAAATGTTGCTTTTGATTCTCTGGTATTATGATTACACACAATTCAAACAAATCATCTTTACTTTGGAATTAAGAGGATGTGATCTGGAGCTAATACTATACAGTAAATTCCATAAACTTAATTCAATACCAAAAGTAGTTATCTAGTAACTAAGCGGTTTCAATGTCTTGTATAGTGCCAGCAGTGTGCATGTGATGTGCTATGGAAGTCCTTGAGCCAATAACCAGGTATAGATAACTAACATCTAGTTTGCTTGCAGATACAGAACAGGTAAATATCTACTTTTGCTGAACTTAATAAGCATGTTAAGTTTTCAATGAACATTTGGCTGAGCCAGGTGATAAATTAGGAAAAAATGAGTTTGATAATGAAGGATTATGAAAGTTAATACAAGGTCAAAGTAGTAAGCTTTGAAAAGTTCTTGCTTCCCTTCACATATCATCCTCCATTGTACTGATGTAACAGCAGTCTTCAGCATGATTTTTAGGATTTTTGTTTGTTTCTTTGAAGAGTCAATTTGGCGTTGTGCTTAAGGCATCAAGCTAGAAACTGGGAGATCATGAGTTCTAGTCCTATCTTAGGCACAAAACCAATTGGGTGATCTTGGGCAGTCACTTTCTCTCAGCCCTAGGAAGCATGCAATGGCAAATCATTTTGAAATCATGCCAAGAAAACTAAATGAAGTAGTCAAGGCAGTTGCCAGGAGTTAAGAACTCTTGTTTTTTTATCGTCTAATAGAATTGTTTTATCATTAAAAGTACAAAAGCATTCCAGAATGACGAAAATGGTTCCAGATATTATTTCAGTTGGAATTAAAAATGTCAACTGAATAACTGACTCCAGGAAAGTAAAAAATATGAAGTCACTTTACAGTGTTTGTAAGATGATTAACAAATCTTTCTCTAGCCATGTGAATTGTTAAGATATACAGTACCTTATGGGAACTTTTAAGAAAGTCATTGCAGGTATAAAATAGTGATGGCTTTTAGGGGCTGATCTTGGGAACACAACAGAAAGGAAACTGGCCCTCTTGATTTATAGGCTGCTTTTGGAAAAGCCATCCATGAAATTACATTTTATTTGCCTTGAATAATGTTCATTTTTCATTTTAATTATAGGATCCAAAAGCCCTAGCTCAATTAATATCATCCATGCCTCTTACTAACGATGGAAAATTCAAGTTACTGAATGAGCAATCAGAAGAAGACAACGCTGTACATGGAGAAGAACAGGAATCGGAAGCATAACTTATAATTTCTCTCAGATGGAGATGATGGTGCCCATAAGAGAGTGTGCCCTGTGCTCTCAGCTGTGGTCCAACATAGGTGGGCTAGAGGAAACATAAGAGATAAGAACTTGATCCAAATATTTGGTATAGAAACTGACAGACTTTTAAAAATTCTTCCTTAGTACCAAGCCATCTTGAATACTGATGGGAGGACCACAAAGTCATCACTACCACCAGCAAAGAGTTAATTCCTCATGAGCATGCATTCATAAAATTTATAAATAAATACACACCTGTTTCACATAATTCTACTAGCAATAGTAGAGCGGAAGAAATTTCACATGCCACAAAGTTTCTGAAAGTCTGAATTAAAATACAGAGGCACTTCACAGAAAAAAATAATATTTTGCATCTTAAGCAAAATAGATAGGAGAATTTAAATGTTTGGAATATAGTTTAGATAGCAGAATTGAAGTGTTGGATTATAATCTCAGTGATAAATACTTTATTTGCTCCTATTTGCATACCTTTTAAAAAGTAATGGGAAAGCTATTTTAAACTCGGCTATTTAGAAAGCTATTCAATAACAGTTTCTACTAATATTTATTTTTGTACTTTTATCTGAGTTAAGCTTTCAAAATTAAGTGCCTAATTTGTGATAAAACAAATAACTCGAGCGAATAGAAAATAGAAGGACCAGAAAACAAGTTAGACCTATTATGAATCTCAGTTATTTACCTAGGCTGAAGGAAAGATGAGCCAGTGGTTGTCACTGCTATTCAAATAAGCCTGTTAAAGGCTAACCTTTTTGCACTGTTCTGTAAGACGAGATAATGGCTTTCCTACTTTTACATGAAAGTTTACAAAATTGATAGAAGAGGGACTCCATTCCTCAGACAAAACAATTTTTTCAAACCTAGATATAAGCAGCACCAAAAGCATTTTCACACTGCCCTGGGAAAAGCAGTTTCTTCAGAAAGAAGATCAAGCTAGCCAGTGCTTATACCATCTTCTTTATTTGACATTCTACCTTGTGCGGCCAGCACAAATTTGGAAAAATATCTGTTTTGTCAGCTTTAGGGTTACTCTTTTAAATTATAAACACATTGTAAGTAAATTACAATGATAGCTGAATCTCATGAAGAATTTTATCTGTCTTTGTTTATATGATGTTTCAATATTAAAAACAAGGTCCACATCTTGCACTTCAAGAGTTTCAGCAATAAAGTAAGAGCCTGAAAAATAGGTGAGAATTTATGTGAATTACAGTACGGGACATGTTATGATTTAGTCACATCTTAAGATTTTTAAACCAGAAGGCTAGAAAAATACCAATAGATTTTCTGAAAGAATATTGTACCGAAGTTTTCTGTATTAATGATATTCAAATTGTTCTACTTAGTACAATAGATATAAGCAGATCAAATCATTTAAGTGCAATAAGCTTATAATGGCTGAATCTGCTCCCAGGTTAATATTACCATCCAATCTAGTTGATATAAACTATATGCAGTGAAACAGAAACGGATAATTTGACTGCTTTAGAGTAGGCCTGTCAAAACTGGCGGCCCCCAGGTTGGATATGGCCCACGCAGGCCACACTCATGCCGGCTCTGCAAAGCAAAAAACATTGTGATACTTCACAATATGCCCAAGTTTGATACCCCTGTCCTAGAGGTTGAAGCAGAAGGTATTGTTGAGATTCCACACAAAGGTATCTTACTGGTGATCCATCCATAAATGAAGAACTATTAGAACTGACTGACAATGATTACATTTAAGCAAGTATACGTCACTGTTTTTGTTATCCATTAGGAAGAACGTGGGGCACATTTCTAAAGGAAATTTATTTCAACACATTACCACAGAATAAATTCTATTTCAGTTTGCCCCATGTAGTTGATTAAATCAATCCTAGCGTTCTCGCTTAGCTGTAGATTGAAGTATCTACATTGGCAAACCATGAAAGATACAGCATTCAAGGAAGTCAAAACATTCCAGGCTTGTGACCACTATATACAAATCCATTTTTTTTCCAAAGTTGCATTTATTAACATTATGTACAGAATATCTAACAGAATAAAGTATTGAGGTAACAGGTTTTTTTTGTTTTGTTTCATTTTGTTTGTGTAATGAATTAGAGTAAGACATGTTATAATTTTGTCCCTTTCATTCCTGAGAATTTGAACCTAGGTGGAATAGATCAGAGTAATAGATCAATGACAAACAGGACCTCCCTTTCAGAAACTTTGGCAGAAGCTCAAACATACAAATGTACAAAATATTCATGGCTTTGCTGAGTCAATCCCTATCCCTCCTGGTAGGCCTTGTGATTTTATTCTGGAAGACCATGTAATAGCCAAGAGGACCTTACTGGAAGTGACCTAGGCATTTGTGTTCAATTACTTATTTCATAGAAAATAAAAGATTCCTTACAAATAAAGATTAAGAATTTGAAAGAGAAAAATCTCTCTGTGGCATGCTTTTGTAAATAAAATACATGGAGAAGATGCCATAGCTACTGTCTCCATGTTGGAAGACAGATTATTCAAAAGATGAAACGGGAGAAGGCAAATAATAATTCCATGTCTTACTGAACCTACCACCGATCCTATACTGTTATGTTAAATAATTCCCAATTCCCATGTTTAATATGCCACACATCTAACAGCCATGAAAGACTTGTATCTACTGAAAGACCAAGCAGTATAACAATTTCTCTTTCTGTGGCAGAAGGACACAATATTAGGCTCCCAAGAACAGATTTGCATTCAAGGCCCAAATTACCATATTTTTCCATTACTTGGTTTTACAATTTCAATGTAAGAGTAGCAACCATCACTATATTCACAAAGCTCTATGTATACATATTCACAACATTACATATACATGCTTTTAGAATCTAGATAATTTCAGGATTTTGTTTTCAGTATTTCACAAAGATGTTAGTTTAGTTAACACTGTACAGTTTAAGCCGTGTATCTAAAATAGGAGTCTCTCAAATTAAATGCCAAAAAGGTATGAAAATGAGTATGTTTATTACAGCACATAGCTACCTTAAGCTTAGTATGCTTTATACAGTCTCTGGGACAATACAAGTTGTCCATTTAAGTCAGCAGTCTAATTGGTAAAATCTATGAATTAGACAGGGTTTTTTTCCCCAAGGGGAATTATATGCAGTAGGAAAACAAGCAATAACAACCATATTAAGGATGTAATTTGATGCATTTAGAATTATTGAATCCATTAGGTATAAGAATATTTTAAAGCTTTCCAATAACAAATTTGCCCCCTTTTCAACCACATCTTAGATCAAAATAGCATACGTGTCTGGAACTCCAAAACTGTGCTGAGTGAGTATTACAGTAAATTATGTGATATTTCACAGCACTTCTGGATCACTTATCAGACCGATGAGGTGGATGTTTTATGTCACTCTGGTCCCATCAATTTCAACCAATGAGAGTTGCTCTAGAGTTCTACAGAACATAAAGCAACACATAAATAAAACTACACTCTGAGAAACATTTCCCTTTTTAAACCCCTCCCCAAATGATCCCTGAACCCCCAGGAGAAGATCTAAGTGAATGAAGTAGAAAAGGAATCTATTAGTAGACAAGCACAACTGAAAAACTATTTTTTAAAGATTAAAGCCCTCTTGTTTTAAAAATTTAGTTTGTTATTTGTTCTAATTATTCCTATTTACTTTCTTTGCAAAGTCAAATGGTAATCAGAACAATGATTTTTTTTTTAAAAAGCATTTTGGGGGGAAAAAATCAGTAAAAATTGCACTTTGTAATTAGGGCTCTGCACCCTTTGAAAAGTATTCAGAAGAAACAATTCAGACCTCATGCAAAGACAGCACTTATCAGATACTCATTAAAGTAGGCATCTGTGTGAAACTCAGGAGACAACTGGACTTTCTTGGGTTTTTTTTTCTTTTGAAGACATTTTGTTTCTCATCCAAGAAGCTTCTTCAGCTCTACAAGGATAGTGAGAAATAGAAGGATGATCCTGAGGACACAAATTCTCACTGCTTCAACAACCCTCTAAAAAGATGCAAATGATCAGCTGTCTGCAAGGAATATAAATCCTTCCATTCCCCACTATCCTATCAGAGCTGAAGAAACTTCTTGGATGAGTAGCGAAACGTCTTCAAAAAGAAAAAAAAATCGCTTCCAGTTGCCTCCCGAAAAAGCACCTTTCAGACAACCTGGATGACTGAGAATCTCTACATACTTCCATCTGTATAAAAAGTACAGTTTTAAAATTTTGCTACAAACACCTCTCTCAAAGCAGCATGCTTTGCTTTCTTTTGAGGAAACCTGGGGGGGGGGGGGGAGCTTTAAAAAACAACTAAAGTGGTGCTGGCTGATGCAAATCTTAAATTGATTCTTCCAAATCATTTTTCAAAATGTGCACAGCTACCTTTTATACAATCTCACTGAGGTAATACTATTTTCTATTTTGCAATTTTGCCGGATAAGAACTTACCCTGAGCCAGAATCTATAAGTAATCATTATTTTTCTCACCTATTACGTTTGGATGGGTAAACCCATCCAAATTCAGTGCAATTATTGTTCCGCCTTTATAAAATAAGTAATCAGACATCACAGTTATATCACGGTACTCAATTTCAATATTCTGCCGTTAAGGGTGTATGCAATTTAAACAAATATTTAACAGTTCCTCTAGGTTTGGCAGAAATACAAAGAACAAGTGAAAGTAATTTCAGGTTAGGAGTTCTCGTATTTGGAGAATGCTGCAAAACTTAAAAATCTTATTTTAATATAGTTTCTAAATTTTAAATACTATTAAGAAATACAATCACATCCGTAAATTAACCATACCAGAGGTCTCATTTTACAAGGGGATCTGCAGAAGAAGAATTCGAAAGGTCGTTGCTTGTTTTTGTAGATTCTTCTGTAATACAAAAAGGGCCAATTTCAACAATTTTATGTTTCTGAGTATTGAGTAAAAAAAATGGAAGATTTTAATACATTTTTTTTAAATCATGCAATTAATTCTGAACTAATAAAATAGACAACTGTTTGTGAAGAGCTTTTATATGGAGGTAGAATCAAAAAGAATCTGTCCCTAAATATCGGTAGAAATAAAAGAGTGAAATGTCAAGAAACAAAAATATGGGTACCATTTATCTAAACAGCAACAAACATCTTAGCTAATATGTGTAAGCAACCTCAAAATGCAAAATATGCCACACTCAAAAACTATGACGTGCATAGACTATGCCACAATCTGAAATTCCTATATTTCATTTTCTGTTAAGCCTACAGTTTGCTATTCTCTCTTCTAAACATAGGTTATACTTTCCTAAGGGATGACATTCCATTTATCTGATGAAGTGGACTGTGCCCCATAAGAACTTAGGCTACAATAAATGCATCATANGTGCTGTGCCCGGCAACCCCCCTTTCCAGCCGGGCAGAACACCACTCACTGACCCAGTAATATCCCAAAGGTGCTAAGCCGCATGGCACTCAGTCGGGCTGGAAAGGGAGGTTGCATGAGCGCCTGTTCCGCCCCCTTATCGTGTACCTCCCAGCCTCACCATGCCCTGGCCTAGCTCTCCCTGCAGGGCCAGGGCGCCGACACTGCCACAGCTCTCCGAGCATAACCGGCTTCCAAACTCAAAGATCCGCTGCTGAGTCTTCCGGCAGCGGCCGCTCTGGGACTACGCTCTATAGTTGTGGGCTGGCTGCCGAAAGACTCTCTGTTTCAACAGCCAGCCCACAACCATAGAGCGTAGTCCCAAAGCAGCCGTTGGAAGCCTTGGCAGCGGATCTCCAGAGTTTGGAAGCCGGTTATGCTCGGAGCGCGCCGGCACCCTGGCCCTGCAGGGATAACTGGGCCAGGGCATGGTGAGGCTGGGAAGCACGCAAGCTGGGGCAGAACAGGCGCTCACGCAACCTCCCTTTCCAGCCAGGCAGACCACGTGGCTCAGCGCCTTTGGGATATTACTGGGTTGGTGAGTGGCGCTCTGCCTGGCTAGAAAGGAGGGCTGCTCGTGAATGTGGTCACCTCATGGCTGCTGTGTTTCTCTGCTGCAACAGCGCATCCCAGCCGTTTGCCCCTGAGGCTGTGCTCGGCTCTTTGGGCGCCCACTCGCAAGAGAGCAGCCACCCAGCAACCCCAAACCAATACCCCCCCCAATAAGCCCCAAGCAACATTTTTTTGGGGGGGTGTCAAAAGAAAATAAGGCCCTGTCTTATTTTCGGGGAAACATGGTATTCTTCAGGGTACCTTTAGTTCTGGAAAATGACTTAAGTGGAGCAGAAATATAATTACAAGTAGAAATATTTTGTGAGGTTATTGTCTTAATATTAAGAGTCAAGCCAGTGGAAAGTGCAATTAGCTATTTGGCCTCAAATAATTATCCAAAACCCTGAGCAGGGTGGCCTAAAGATGGAGTTCTCACCTCACAATCAGGAGGCTGTGAGTTCAATCCTAGGTAGCGACAGGTATTTCTTTCTCTGGGCACAATGAGTAATTGCCTGCTGTGAATTCCACATAGGCATCAGGAATGGCATCCAGCCAGCAAACGATCAGCTCCAATCAGTCACCCCATCCCACCCCAATTGCATGTTATTAAAACCCAACACTTAGGTCTGTAAACCACATGCTCTTTCATTGGATAATTCCAGTGTGATGTCTTCTCTGTTGTAAATGGATGCTTCTCCTCACCCCTCAAATACCAGCTGTTTCAATATAGATATATTTTACATGTGTGATCACTTTCCTATCTTTAAGTCAATTGTGGATGCTTTCATTATGACTGTGTATTGCTATCTTGGTGAACCACCAAGAGTCCTTCAGGATATACATGGGTTACCGTATTTTTCAGAGTATAAGATGCATCTTTTTGCCTCAAAAAAGAGGCTGAAAATCTGGGTGCGTCTTATACATCGAATACAGCATTTTTTGCCTCCCAAAGCCCCACTCCCTTCACCAAAATGGCCGTGCCTACCCTTATGGAGGCTTTCAGAGACCTCCTGGGGGCTGGGGAGGGCAGAAATGAGCAAAAAATGGGCTGTTTTTTGCCGCTCCAGTCTCCAGCAGCACTCTATAAGCCTCTATAAAACTATGCATGCAATTTTTTTTGACGGAATAAAGGCTATTCATGCCTCCTTTTTTTGGGGAAAAAAAACAGGCCTGTTTTGGGAGGTTTGCAGAATGCAAAAACTCCCCCCCCCCTTTGGAAAACTCTTTAACTGATTGATAAGAATTACATTGATCAAGTGCTGTGCCATCAGAAATACCTATCTACTGTATTTTTATCTCTCTCTATTTCTCTCTCTCTATCCACCTACCTACCTACCTACCTACCTACCTACCTACCTACCTACCTACACATACTCTCTCTCTCCCCCTACGTACCTACTGTATTTCTCTATCTCTATTTCTCTCTATCTATCATTTTATCTACCTACCTACCTATCTACCTAACTACTCCCTCTCTCCCCCTACCTATCTACTGTATTTCTCTCTCTCTCTCTCTCTCTCTCTCTCTCTCTCTCTCTTCTTCTACCTACCTACCTACCTACCTACCTACCCACACACTCTCTCCCTACCTACCTACTGTATTTCTCTCTCTTTCTCTCCCTCTCTATCCCTCTATCTACCTACCTACTTTTTTTTTAAAAAAGTGCCTCTTCAAAACCTTGGTGCATCTTATACTCTGAAAAATACGGTACATGGGTTAAGTAAATAAATAATTAAATATCCCTTCTGTTATCTAAGAAGTCAATCAATGCAAATACTAACCAGCGGGGGAACAATGATATAAAAATTGCGTAGATGCATGTTCTTTAGTCTACGGAATTCAGGCGCAAAGACATCCACAAGCATTTTGAAGTACTCTGTACCTTCTGCAGAGCTGCAGGTGAGGTCACTAAGTACAGAATCCAGCTGCCTGCAAAGCAGAGATATAGCAACAGTCAGGAGGGAAAATGTCCTGGTCCTATATTATTCTTTTCATAATAATTACATACAGAAAATAAAGCTGCTTGTTTCATGATCTTTAGCACCGTTTTAAAGAAGTGTTCAAATCACCCC